GACACACTCTACCTTGTAAACTTATTTTCATTAACTAAAGCTATGTGTACGCTGCAAAATAGCTTCAGGTGGACCCTGGTCTCTAGAGCAGACGTGGGATTTGGTGTGTTATCCAGCAACGTATAAAACACAAAGCACAACTGCTGTTTCCAGGGATGCATGTGGAAGCTTCCCTGGCTTTGTTGTTTTAAAAGCCTATGTCTGGGGATCTCCGTTCTGGCAGACAGCAAGGGTGCTTGGTACCGTGTCACAGGCTCAGAAAATGCCCTTTTGGAGCCCTTTGATGTTTTCTTGCAGGAGGAATTAGTACAGATTGTTTGTTAAGTATTACGAAGATTTAAACTTCAAGAGTTAAACCACATTTACTTTGGTCCAGGGGAAAGGCCGGTGTCAAGCATTGCTATGAGTTGTGCCCAGCTTATTTTGGACAGACTGTTGATATAAAGAAGCAGCATAAGGCAAAAGGATGATCAAAACAGAGCAGGTGACTCCGAAGTCACCAGATAGGTTTTTTTCCAAGTCAGAAATGTAGAAGGATGAAATATGCTACCCAGAAGTGAAAGGTAATTTTATACTTTCGAGCCGGCCTGCCTGTTTTGCTCTTAAATCTAAAAATAGGGAGGCTTCATGTGTTAATCAAGTTTGGTACCAATGTCGAAACTTCCTTTTAAAGCAGTCTTGCCAAGCCACCGCTTTCATTTCCACAGTTAGCGTGCAGGGCTCCTCAGAAACTGCTTTTTATAGACTATGATAGTTATAAATTGATTTACAGTTACGTGTCTATAGGTTAGTTATGGGTTGATAGCGTGAAGCCTCTTCCTACTCAGCTGGGGTGTGGGGGTGTTTCCAGCTCGCTCTTCCATGCATAGAGGGCCCAGGCAATCCAACACTCAAGTAATTTGTGAATAAATCAGTATTTTATCTTTGTGGCAACGATACAGTCCATTCTGACAATAAAGATGTCTTGTTTGCCTGTCCTGTCCCTAGGAAGTGAAGAGATCGTGATTGCTCCGTGCTAGAAAAGAACAAGCAGGACAAGGCAGTGGCGTCTCAACCACTTCTGAAACTTGTTTCACAAACTAAGCTCTCCCCGAAGCCAAAGCTGTACCTGGAGTCTCGGTAAACACTGATGTGTTATGAAACCTGCCTTCAGTTTAGCGTTGGAAAGAATGCGTTATGTAAGCGTAGTCCCGTCTGTGTGTACATTAAATGAGTCCTGTGGCAGATCTTGTTTTGATGCAAGGTGCCCCTCTTTCATGTTACATAAAGGCTGGGAGGGCACTTGCTCTCCACCGTGGCCCTAGGAGCTATTTTAATAGGTTTCCTATAGGGTTTTGCAGCTGTTTGGTAATCTGTTTGGTGTGGAAATCGGCCAATATCCTCAGTCTCTTGCTGTTGTCAGTGACCTAAAAGGTGTGATTGCATAGAGGAGTATTTGCTGCTGCTTCAGTGCCTGTTGTGGAATATTAACAAAAGTGGCCTAAGGATTTACAGAATTAAAATGGGAACTTAAAAGCTAGTTTTGGTTGTTATATAACTGACCTAGAAATTGGGATGTCACATGTAATCTTCAAGTGTCTGAAAACTTCTGAGCTCTCTTATGCTGCGGCTTTAATTGTGAAATAGCGCTGATTATGGAACCTGCGTCTGTAGTCTTGTTGGAATTTAATGGGAGATCATCAGAGAAATAAAACAGTATCTAGGTGTGTAGTTTTGTGCCAGTGCCTTCCGGGTCTGCATCAGTGTTGATCAACTTCACTGTTTCTGTTAATGGATGGTGAGGATGTCCGTGGCTGGGCGCCGTTTTGGGTCTTTGGTTTGATCCATACGGGAACGTGGGCATCCAGAGCGGGATCTGGCTGCTGCTGCCGAGTGTTGGTGCCTGTCGTGACTGCTGTTCTGAAGCCTGTGGCCGTTTCCCCGTGTGCAGGGACATTGCACTGCGGATCGTGGTCTGTGAAGGCCAAAGCCAGGCCGGGACGAGCGCTGATGAGATGTCTTAGCTGATTCAGATGTCGCCTTCTGGCTTCCCAAGAGAAACCTGGGCTCGTGCCCCAGGCCAGCGGCTGAACCTGCACATCCCTGTTTGCGAGCTCCAGGTGCTTTACTGAGCACCTCCATTCAGTGGGGACCATTGCACTGCAGGGCAGAGGAGAACATACAGAAGGAAAAACCTGCTTCTCCTCCCTTGGCCTTCCCTAACCATAATATGACGATTTTCCATTCTTCATTTTTTAGCTTTAGTTCATTTTGGTCGATAATGCCCGCACCAGCACGCGTTTTCCTTGCTCCTTCAGTAAATCTTCAGAGACGGAGGCAGATGCAGCGGGGGACGCGGCGCTTCGCGGAGCGGCTGCGTTTGCTGCGCTTGGCTCGGAGCTCCTGCTTCCACCACCCTGCGCCGGCTCCACGAGCGCTCCCAGGGAACGTCCCCGAGCTGGCGGGCCATGGGCTGCCTTATCCTCCCCCAAATCCTGAGTTTCCATCTTCTGAACTAAGCTGTGGCTTATCGAATATTCTCCTCGGATGACAAACATCTAAGGGGTGAGGAAGTGTCAAGAAACCTTCATCTCTTGGTATGGTACTCTCTGATATGTTTGCTGTGAGGAATCAGGAGCTTATGGTGTTTCTTTATCACCCTAATTTGTGAGCATGGACACAGGAGGTGTCACCTCTGCTCTCAGGGCACACAGACTGATTAGATTCATGGCAGATTTACTTGGAATGTTTATCAAGCAAGCTGGAAAATGAGTCCAGTTATGGGATAAATTACAGACATTTGCTCCTCCAGTGGTTTGGTGCTTCTTGGAACTGCTGAAAAGCCTTTTAATGAACATGGTTAAAGTGAAATAAGGGTGCTTGGTGCAATGCACGTATCCATATTGTACCAGTTAATTTTATTTATGATCTTATGGTATTTCATATTTCATGGTTTAAAACAAAAATTTAAGAAGTGAATTTTTTCCTTGCCTTCTTTACTCGTGTTTCCCTGACTTCTCAGGGGTCAGGTGATATGTTCACCCGCCTCCCTAAATGCAGCAAAACCCCAACTTGCTCCTCCTTTAGGATTATGTTACTCAAAATATCTTGCTTTCATGTGGGACATGAATTCAAATAAGAGGTCTGACCACGCGAGTGCATTGAGGAGTTGATCTTTAAATCAGAAATGATCCTCTTTAGTTAGAAGAAGAGAAGGGAGTGGATAATGGGAAAAAAACAGCGTTTTAGATACTCAGGGTTTCTAACGTACCTTTTTTAGGAGTGGAAGATGGTAAGTTATACAGCAATTTAGTTGCACAATGTTAACTTGAGTTGGATTATTAAAACTGCATTTAAAGATGCTCAGTTTAAATAAACTGCTTGACTTGCTTGATTTGTTAAAATACCAAATGCTAGCCTGCAAAAAATGGCTCTGGAACTTTTTTTTTGTAACGGTAGTGTGTCTTTAAATGAAGAATAAAACCTTCACTCTCAATGCAGCATGTGATTTCTTCCTATTGATTCAGAGTGACCTTTCTTGTCCCTGAATGTGGAAGTGATGCAACTGCAACCTAAAACCCGTGAAGGGGAGGAAAGGAAACTGCTTGCTTTCTCCATGACTTGGGTTCACAGCTTTTTGCAGTCTCTCCTTGAACCATATTATTAGTTCTGATGTACACAAAGGATTACTGGGATGACAGAAATAATCGTGGCGCTAAAATATGATTAAAGGTCTGTAGTTTTGTGCCGTGTGCGCCGAGGCAGTGGAAGTGCAAAAGCCCAACTGGCAGAGCGAGCGGAATAGGCTGTTAAGATTTCAGAAAGCAAGATGTTGACACGGGGTTTAAGCAAGATGATGGGTTTCATTCTGCTTTGGTTTCCCAAAGATCCCCGTGTCCTCAGCACTGAGCTGCTGCTTGGGTGCAAAACCTGAGTTGGTGCAATGGGTCTGCAGGCTGCAGCTGCAGAACTCTTGTAACTTCTTCCATTCCACTGGGTGATTTTTTAATTGCTTTAATTGCTTAATACAGGCACCCGTAATACAAGTCTTTAGCAAACATATTGTCTGGCTTTCTTCTCTTTGGCCTGCAGTAACAGAAGGGCACTAAGGACTGCCCAGCTCTCCGACCTTCCTGTGGGAAGGAGAAAGGGCCGTGTATTTAGCTGCTCTCGGTTGTACAAATTACAGACTGAGTCTTTACAAATTAAGTTATTAAGAGTTATTAAGTTGTTATTCTTTTCAATACAGATCTCTCTAGTGAAACTCTTTTTAGATTATTTCTAGAAACTCATTACTGACCTAAGAGCAAGCCGCGGGCCCTCATCTTTATTGGTTTGGATTCAAAAATCATCTGTTTTTTTCTATTAGAGGAGAGAGATCTTAGGGAAGCCTCTGGTTACAAATGCAAGAGCAGGACTCTGAACTGCTCAGGGGTCATTCAGCTTATGCAGAGCTTTCCCTGTTGTGATTCCCAGGAGTGAAAAGGGCTTGGACTTGGCAGCCAAGGCCTGGCTTCTAGGGCAGTGTTGGTGCGTGTCAGTTTTGTGCTCCAAATGCCAGCGTTTTAGTACGCAGGTCTTAAACTCGCCGTTGCCAATGATGTTGTGCTGCTTTTATCCTAAAACGAACCCTGCGTTCAGGATTGGAAAGAAGTAGTTGAAACAGCCTTGGAAGGAAGCTGGCACGTGGGATGGCTTCTGGCAAGTGTTAAAAAGAAAAGGGAGGGAAACAACGTCGGGATTGCTGGAAGAGGAGACTGCTCGGTGATGGTCCAGGCTTGGAGAGCCTCTTGGTTGCCTCTCTCTATTGCAACTGCCTAGGGCTGCCTGCAGGTCAGAGCTCTGCAGACGTATGGGAACACGTCTGTTTGCTTATACAGTGCAGCCCTTCCTCCTCTGGATTTTATTCTGTTACTATGGAAGCAGCCAATAATTAAAGCAGGTGGCTTGTGTCAAAAAGACAAGAGGGCAGAAGGAAGCCTCGCTAGCCATCGAGTTTGTCTTTTAACCCTTTTCTCTTTTTCCTTCAAGCAGGTAGAAAATGAGCCTGAAGTCTGAACGCAGAGGCATCCATGTGGATCAGTCGGAGCTGTTGTGCAAGAAGGGCTGTGGTTACTATGGCAATCCTGCCTGGCAGGGGTTTTGCTCCAAGTGCTGGAGAGAGGAATATCACAAGGCCAGGCAGAAGCAGATCCAAGAGGACTGGGAGCTGGCAGAGCGGTAAGAGGCCTCTTTATTCCCTCATCCTTGCCATAGGGTGACTTCACTCAACACTGTTCCCTTCTCCTGGTTTTAAGATGTACTTGGCCTGGCTCAATTTCCTCATAAATTCTCAAATTTGATGTTTGCCGCACGGCTTAAAATATTCATTTCAAGACAAAGTTGAGTATTTATCGCATTCTGATTTAAGGGTTTTCTAAAGAAAGCCTGTGAAGTTACAGACGTAAACAAGAAAAATGCTCCAACCTGCCCCCCGGCCATGAATACTTTGACCTAAATTGTGTACTGAAATCTGTGATTTTAACTAGCATTTGGAAGGATGAAAATGACAGTTTTGATTAAAACAGCCCTGCCTCTGGAGACGGTGGTTACTGCCTTGAACGTAGCCAGCAAAATGGGTTAACAGTTCAGCTGCTCCTTGACAAAAATGGTTTTAATCCTGTCTGCGGTCAGTTCAGCTGCAAGGAAAGCCCAGAGGAACCAAATCTTTTCAGTGTTTTGTTTTATTCAAGCAAAGTTTTATTGTGAAACAGTGTAGTTTTTCTTGTGTGCCCAATGGTTGATTCAGAAAATGGAGGTTGAAGGGTAGCTATGAGTGAGGAAATCAGAGCAGCTTTTCTGTTGGATTTGGGTAGAAAATCATTAAAAAAGCATTATCACTTGCATAGGAAAGTGCAGAATATTCTTTCAATATAGCACCACAGGTGGCCTTCCTGTCACTCGCAGGTGTAAGTTACCTGCCATCCCCCTGCAAATGACCTGTGGTAATTAAGGCTGTATGGATTTTTGAGGTGGGGGAGCCAGTAACTACATTGGGTGTCCGTGCTGGTTGCCTGGCAGTTGGGTTGAGCTGCCCAGGCTTTGGATCATGTTGGCACAGAGCCTCTGTACATGCTTGCCTTAATGTATCAGTAACACATGCCAGAACTTTACCTAGGAAAAAACACAAATGCCTCAGTAGCATTATCTGCTCTTGAACTTGGAGGCTGTTCGCTGAACTTGAGTTACCTAGTGATAAGTTAACCAAGAGCATTTAAGAAAAAAAGGCCTAGGTGCAGTGTTTACCCTCACCTGCTTCTAGAAGGTCACATCTGTGGATGCTTTTTCGACTTCATTCCAGCCTGATGATTGTTCCTAAGCCCTAAGTTATTTGTTACCTAATTAGTCTCCTCTTCTTTGGTCCATCCTGGGCTAAATGAGTGTTTAAAGAAAGTTACTTGACTCTTTACCATCTCCTGCTTAAGAAGAAAAGTAGCCTTTGAAGTGTTAGTATGTTTTCTCCTGCAGAGGAGGAACATCTCTTTCTACCCAAAAATGTTTTTGCAACCTTCAAACGAGATGGTGTGTTGGGTGACAAAGACATCTCAAAACACGAAGTATTTTTGATGATATATGCAGTGAAACCCTGGATGGGAGCAGGAGTGGAGAGGGATCGAGTGATCTGATGGAAATACTCCTGTTCTTTCTCTTTCTCCACTCCCTATGATCTTTTCCCTCCTCTCCACCTTTGTGAAGATCTAAGGTCATGACATGAGGGGGAGGTGACAGTGATGACATTTCAGTCTCGTTCCTTGTGACATTTCTGTTTGATCCTCGCTGGCCTTAGTTTGATCTTAAGCCTTCCCTCACTTTCACTGTAGCAATGGGGAAAGAAGGGCCATAAGTGACATGTGTGACAGGCAACTAAAGATGAAAGTGGGCAGAGAGATTTGGCTTGCCAAAGAGTGAGTTACTGCCCAGGAAACTAACTTATTTGTGCTGGTTTTAACCACTTCAATTAGACCTACATCTTTCGAATACAGGCTTCAGCGTGAGGAGGAAGAAGCATATGCCAGCAGCCAGAGTACCCAAGGGGCACAGTCACTGACCTTTTCCAAATTTGAAGAAAAGAAAACCAATGAGAAGACTCGAAAGGTGACTACTGTGAAGAAGTTTTTCACTGCTTCTTCCAGAGCAGGAGCTAAAAAGGTAATTTTTCCTTTGTTTTTTTTTTTAATGGCTCTGTACAGAATGTTTAGGTAGGAGTATTTTTTGACAATATTGGGCAGACTTCTAGCATTACTTGCATAGCCCCAGACCTACATATGTCACTGCTTAAAAACTATGAAAACTGCTTTGAATTTGATCTGTTAAAAGTATTTTAGCAGTCATTTTTCCTGTGTATGTCTTTAAAATATGAGTGCCTGGTAAATTTTTAGTGGGTTCTGAATTCAACATATAATTCATAAATAATTCTGTCAGTTTTATGGTTCTGTCTTGAATTTATATAACTGATGAGAACAGTCTAGAAATCACTCTCTTTCACAAACGCTCCTTCCCCTTCTCTGCAACTGGGTGAGTGAAACAAAATTGAAAAACTTAGGTTACAGGAGCAATAAACAATATCTGTGTGTGTGCTCAGTTAAAGACAGGAGATAGTGGCTCGTAGATTTATCTCTACTTGGCCCTGATTGTTATCCTAATGTAGGTGGCAAGTTGGCCAAAGTTGCTGGCTGTCCCAAGAAGCAAAAAGAGTTGTCTGGTTTCATCTTGGCTTATACGGGAGGAATGATTTTCAAAATTTTGAATATGTCTTGCTATACAGCTACAGAGATCACCTCTCCTTCCTGTATAAAGTATTTTACAGAGAGATTCCTAGAAGATGTAGGGGTTTTCTTATCTGGAGGATTTGTGGTTTGTCACTTACATAGTGAAGCTTTTGGAGAGTCGATGCTGTATGTGCAGTGCTACTGAAAACGCACAAAAATGTGAACTTTTTGGTGGCCGTAATGTTTTAAGTAGAATGGTGATGCTGCCACAGTGCAGTATTCAAGCAACTGTAACAGGAAAATTGGAATATTTAAGCAGGATACCTTTAAATGACAATAAATGAAACCCAGTGTTACCTTCAACTAGAAAGGAGCATGTTCGTTGTGAATATAAAGTTTGTTGGCTGAACAGTTTATTCTAGAGCATGTGTGCAGGGATAATGTGATTAATGGCACTGATGCCTTTGCATGGCAAGAACTTCCATGAATTGCTTGCTTTGACTTGGGCACAAGTGATAAAATGCTTGACTCTCGAGGAGGAATTGCAGAGGACAAAGCAAAATCAGTTTGTCTTAACCTTATGGACAACTCATTTCTTTGGGAAATTGCAAATATACCTAGAAATTGTCTTGGTTCATGAGCACCAGCTGACTAAGGAGGCATTTTGTGATGTATTAGTATTTTTTTTAATATTTATTTTTCTCATTTCCCATATTTTGTTTTGCGCCATTCGCTGTCTCACGCACCCCTGCTCTTGGTGTCTTGCTTGCTTTTGCATTTATTTCAGCAGCTCAAGAGAAAACCATAAAGCAAGGACAGCTTGGGAGGGAGCGAAATGCTGATAACATTCTCAGGGACTTGAAGGAAATTTTTACTCCCTCCTGGGAACTGGCTTCCCCTTCTGAAGGTAATGCAGCGTAGCTCGAGCAAGCTCTCTGCCTGGTTTTAGTAAGCTTACTTAGTTGGGCTTTGCAAAATACAAACTAGGGTTGTGCCAATAATAACCCACACTATTAAATATGAGTGTGACAGAAAAGCAAATCCAGCATTCCGAGGGAACCTGAATCTCTAAACCAGTTCTTTTTTGTGTGGGGAGTGCAGGGATAAAATTGATGATGCCTTGAACTCTGCTTTAGTTTGTCATCCGAAGGAGTATGCGGTTTCAAGTAATTCCAAGTTGCCATTAGAAATCTCATTCTGAGTTGAAACTACTTCAATTTAATGGTTGGAACTTAAAGAGCACTTATACTTCCAAATATCTAAAGATGTTTTGATATCTTAGTCAAAAAGACAGTTTCATATTGACGAAAAAAAAAAGGGCATTCTGGTTTAACTGAAACCAAAAAGGCACCAAAACGCATGATGTGAACAGGCTTAGGATCTTTGCTTCCTTGACATTTTGACAAGTTCTACCAACTTAAATACAAAATACAAAATGCAGAAAGATTTAGAGTGTCTTTATTCTGCTAATTATTTATGTACAGATCAATGTCTGCGTGCAATAGAGGTAGCAACAACACTATTTTAATATCCTTTACGTCTCCTACTCAAGTCTGCCATGGCACAACCATAGTGAAATCACTGGAGTGCTGACATTCCCCTGTGACATCTAGCACCTCCATACAATGCCTTGAGACAGATTTTAATATATAGTGTTCCCTCTCAACAAAAGGTGATCCTAACTCCCCCTGCTCTTTGTTTTGGCTTTTCTCTTCTGCTAGATTCTCTCTCACTTGCTCAAGAGGACTTCCTTTTCCATAATCACTTTTTTGTAGGTAGACTGACTTAGTTGTTTTGGGATACATGATGCAGTTGAAAGTATTTTGTTGCTCAAACTGCCTATGTTCCTGTAGACCTCAGTAATCAGTGCATGTTGTACAGATAAAACCCTCCTCAAATCCAAATTAAGTATGCAAGCTTGATGATACTAATCACATTGAAACACACGTTTTTTACTTTGTAGTTCTGCATGTCTGCTTAGTGAAGCAAGTTTTGTGCTGCGTGTTAGTGTCTTCAGATTGGGAGATGTGCTTGTATCATTTTGGTTATGAATATCTTTGTGTCTTCTGTCTCTCTGCTGCTTGCTTTTCATCATGTCCATTTACCTCATCTCTGTTCAATCCTTCCTTTTGGGCAGTGTTGGCTGGCAAGTTGAAAGGTGGGTGAGCTGAGCTCGGATAGCGCAGATAGCAGACCCGTACACTTGACTTGCAGTGTACGCCCTTCCCGAAAATCAGATGTGCTTGTGTGGAAAACCCCTGTGGTTTTGGCTCTATAAACTTGCCCCCAGTGCTGTGTGCGGTCTGTGTTCCTGCCTCGCTCTCGAGTGCCAGCCAGATTCTTCCTTGAACAGAATTGATGCTTCTGCTCTCCGAAACACGAGTGGCCGAGCTCTCATTTACACCGCGGGGAGATCCTGCGGCAGCCGCGGTCCCTCCAAACCAGGGCTGCTCCGTCTGCACCAGCCTCCTGCTCCCATTCCCAGGCTGCTCCCGCTGTTCCCATGATCTGGCCATAAACCAGCCTGGGGAGCTGATCCTGC